AGACCGCGGTGGCTTATGAGCGGACTGTGGAAGGCGGAGCCGACCGATTGCCCGACGGCGGCAGCGGGAGGCGCGTGTTTGCCGTGCAGCGGAAAACTCCATTTTCGATGGTGGAGCTCCGGTTGGCCGCTTCTACAGTGGTGGTCGTTTTCTGCGATGTTGATGTCGCCGCCGCCGACGGCGGCGACAGTGTGAGGTGCTGGAGGAGACTCACTTTGTTGCAGGTGAATGTGTGTGTGGGAGTCTGTGAGAGAGAGAGAGAGGAGAGAGAGAGAGAGAGAGAGAGAGAGAGAGAGAGAAAAGAGACGGATGGGATGTGGGAGGTGGGATTTATTTTGTGTGGGGCCCAATGGATTGGTGTTGTCATTAAAATTACACAATTATCCTTAGAGGTACTTATTTGATCAAGAATAAACACATATTTACAATTTTGCCATAACAGATTTGACCAATATAATAAATTTTGACTCCATCAGGTCCCTTGATATGTTAGATCTAATGCTCCAAAATCATTCTTATTTCTTTCACTAGAGATCATTCTCATATGATCCCTTACCTATATATATATATATATATATAGATTTTTCAGTAATAGTTTGTTAAAAATCCTTAAGAAAATTTATATATCATAAAGTCTAAAAAAATCTTCTTGGATAAACTTTTTTTTTTTGGAAATATTTTTTAGCAAAAAAGGTGGTGGAAGGTGGGAGATTCTTCGAAAGACTGAACTATTTTAAAAAAATTGTGAAAAAAATAGTATATAATAAATATAATAATGAAAGTTTGTATAATAATTAAATTAAAACAATATTTACAAAAAAAATATTCCCAAATTAAACTTACTAGTACTAATATCCATGTACAACATGAGTGTTGAGTTAATGAATATATGTTAAAGTTATTTATGTCTAATACCAAACCTAATTCCAGAGCAAAAATAATATAAAGCAACATCATGAAGTATAAAGCTGTTCATGAAGTATAGATTTTTGCCATGTCAGCATCCGAAGCGTAAGAATCTGCCACGTAGGCTCTACATGATTTGAATATATACTTATATAAAAAGACATTCTATTTTTACTATAATTAGTGGTAAAAAAAGTCAAAGGTAATTAATGTATTCTATTTCCATCAAATATTTTATTTAATTATTTTAGTTAATTGTTTTATCTCATAACACCTTTTCAATACAACTTACCATGATTTTTCTATTGTGATTAAAAACCAAATTTTACGTTTAAAATCTTGTGAAATTATTATTATTATCTTTATAAATCACATATTATTTGTTAAAAAAATTATATATATATATATATATAATACACATCACAGTACCATTATAGATGATTTAAATTTCAACCGACCAAAATGTCAATGATTAAATTTGAACACACCTATGCGTTTGACCAAATGTCTAGATGATCTAAATTTGAGCCCATAAAAAATTATTTAAATTTGAAGGCACTATAAATTTTATGTACTTTATATTTATAAATATATTGAAAGTGATATTTAATGGTTGTTATATAACTATTTTAACATATTTGCAATGAATAAAAGTTTGAATGAATAATTTGTAATGTTATTCATAATGTTTGTGACTTATGAGACACGAATACATAACTCCATTCATATTTGTCAGAGAGCGGCTTAATAATTTTTAGATTTAACGTTGATTAAAAGAGGTAGAAAATAGATAATAACATTATTATTTTTTAGACTTAAACGGACAAAGTTGCGAAAATAACTCATTTAATATCTTTGCCCACGGGTACATACTAGTAGATATTGATAGGAGGAAGTATTATATTAGTTTCAAACAAATCATTAGATAAGCGAGTAAGATTTGTTGTACAAAATATGGATAATGTTCCTAACCAAAAACCACCCAACATTAATATTTGGCTACAATTATTTCAGTTTGCACGTTTTCTTTGTGCGATAATCATGCACGATTTTGATGCAAACTTTAAGCTACTTAAAAAGCGTGACTGTATATATAATCGTATCCAATTTTTTAACATATAAAATAAAAGTACTTTTATAAACCATTTCAATCACGTCATCAAGTGAGTATGGTTCTTTTGCATGGTGATTTTGACTTTTCAACATATTTATAAGGGATTTATACGGTTTTACTACGAAGCCAACGGTTGGAGCCAACCTTTTATATACAACAAGCAAACCTACTATGTTTTATGATTACGTAAATAACATTAATATAATTTTAGTAATATAGTAGATTTATTTGTTGTATATAGAAGGTTAACTCAATTATGAAACCAACTGTTGACTTCACAGCAAAATCGGGAATTTATATATATATAGATTCTCCATTAATAGTTTCCTTAAAAATCCTTAAGAAAATTTATATATTCTAAAATTCTTGGATATATTTTTGTAAAAATATAGTAATATAAATATAATAATTAAAGTTTGTATAATATTAATTAATTAAAACCATATTTACAAAAAAAAAAATATTCCCTAATTAAAACTTATTTATTTTTTTAGGAAAATTCTTAAGTGCCGTTGTGTATTTTAGCGGAACCAATAAACACTTGCCACATTATTTTAGTTTGGTAGGCTTTTACTACATCTAAAGGTCTCTATCAGTATCAAGTTTACAAGATCTAATGACTGAGATTAAATTAATGGAATGGTGCATGCACGACACCGTAGCCAACCCTTTTTTTTTTTAAATATTCGTCTTCATTTTTTCCTATCTTTCATTGTTTGGCCACGGCACGAAAGCAGTCGAAAAAAAACTTCATTCCCCACCACCTTTTCAGTTTCCACACAGCCACACAACAGAGACCTTCAGAAATGAATAACCCACGCTATAAATAATCGCACAACTTTCTCCTCTGATAATCGCTGTAAGATTCACCAAGAAATTCCCCCATTTTCCTCTGAGTGTCGAAAAATTCAAATTATGGCGACGGGCGTGGAGACCTTGGCGGAGGATTTGAGATCGGTGTACGCCGCCGGCAAGACGAGGGCTTACGAGTGGCGGGCTTCGCAGCTGAAATCGATTCTCGAGATAACCAATCGCCATGAGAAGGAGATTACAGAAGCCCTGCGCTCGGACCTCAACAAACCGGAGCTCGAGGCTTTTGTTCATGAGGTGGGTTAGATTTAAAAAATAAAATAAAAATAAATAAACGGAAATTTCGTTAGATTTTTCACTTGGGCTTCTTTTAATGGTGTGAAATTTTGTTCAGATTCAGTTATTTCGTGTTCGTTGTATTGATTTTCGAGCTGGGCTTGTGCTCGATTGCGTTATTAATTCGAATTTGTCTTTCTCCTTTTTTGTGGTCTCTGTCTCTGTATTTAATGTTCTGTGCTTTTTGTTCATTTAATGTAGAAAGGTTTTTTTTTGCTGTTGCACATGGAAATTTCTAGTCTTTTTGTTCATTTAATGTTTTGTGCTAAGTGTGACTGAACTTGTGAATTAAATTCTGGATACACCAAACTGTTGTTGCTACAAAAAAGTGGGTGAAGACTGTATATTTTAATTGTACACAATGCCTCGGTGATTGTACTTTGGTGGTTTAAAGTTTTTGTCTTTTGATGAATGGTTGTTGTTTCATTTATATCTTTCCACTTTTAGGAAAACTGAAAATAAGACCATCTTGGAGCCTATTTAGCAATTGAAGCTTGAAAACTTGCATGTGTTCTGATAATGAACAATTTAAGCTTGAAAACTATTGTTTCAATCTTTTTATTCAAAATTCACTTCTCTTTTTTTTT